CCATGGCAATCCCGCATGGACAAGTCACTTCATGTTCCAGCTATAGGACCATGGCAGATATTCCCCTTTGGAATGGGACTGTAGCCAGTGCTTTCCACGTAGCAAGAACACGCCGAAGACCAAAGCGTCCGCCGGCCGGCGAGCCCAGGCCCCAGCTCTGCAGCCCCTGCTCTCCCTGCTGACGAGGAAAGCGGCTCTCGGCTGCCCCTTCCAGGGCGTTGAGCCCAGGTCCCACTTCAGTTCTCCCTTTTTTCCTATTCCACCAGCACCCATCCCTACCCCGGAGCAGCTCGTCTCAGAGCCGGGACCAAGGCACCTCCTGCTCTCCCTACGCCCTGGCTGCTGCAAAGCAGCTGCTCCCACCCAGCTGGGGCCTTCAGCTGCAGACAGCTCCCCGTAAATTCTTGCTTTATTGCTTTTCCATGTAGGCATTGGCTGGGATGGCGCATGGACACGTGGCAACCCGACCAGGAGGGGTAACGCCAGGAGACGCGGAGCACTTAGCAACGCCGGGAGCGCGAGCGGCTGCAAGAGGAGCAGGTTTGAGCCTCGCTTCCTCCCCCCTGCTGGGGTGGGAGTTTTCCCTGCGCCACCGAATTCCCAACTCCTCATTCCCAGCTTTGTGCAGCTCCGGGGAGCTCGGGGTGCCCCAGCGTCTCGCCAGGCTCCAGGACCTTCTGCGCAAGCGCGGCTGCTCCCGGCAGCTTGTTTGTTTAAGGCCGTTTCCATGGGAATTTGTAAGGACCATGGGAACATTTTTTATTTGACCTTAACAGTAAAGAATGAGCCTGGGGAGGGGGGAAGGAGCCCTGGGAGTGATTTGTGGCTCTGATTTGTCTCCTCGGCTGGGGTCACCTTTTTAGCGCCGTCTGGACCCGCCTTGGCAGGTCAGCTTGCTTTTCCCTTTGCCTTTTCCTTTTTCAAAGGCCTGTGATGGTTTCCAGCGAGCCGAGCACAAAAGCAGGTCAGGAAGAGCCTCCCGAAGGTGCCCAGGGCAGCTGCCGGGTCGGACTTGCCGTGGATCAGATTCCCGCTCCCACATTGAGCCTGTGCCGCATCTGTCTGGGCCAGGACGGCTCTATCCAAGGATTTGCCCTGCGCTGCTCCGGGAAGGACAGCGACGGCCTCCCGGGGGGCAAACAGGGCTCATTGAGCCCCCGTCTCTCTCCTTCCAAGTGTCTCGGCCCCATTTCCAAGGTCCCCCGGCCCCATGGGGAAGCAACCGGCGTTACGGGACGATCCCGCGCGTCCGCTCAGCGCCGGAGCGGGGACGCGGAGCGGGAAAGCTGCGTGCAGCGGGTGCCAACCCGGCCCGCGATGGGTCACTTCTCCAGTACGGAGAAGCCGTCAGCAAACCAGCACCAAGGTACCAGTACAGCAGCCACCTTAGAGGCAGGTTATGGCAAAGCTCCCTTTCTGCCTCGCTTTGGCTGTGACAAAAACACAGTTAGAAAGTGGTCATTGAAATACGGTCTAACTCGGACACAAAAACACTCCTGGTTGGTTAGGAAAGCGCTGAGCTGAAGCCCTTCGATTCCCTGCTTTGGACATGCAGCCTCTAACAGAGGGGTCACCTCTTCTTGACTGGATTTAACTAAAGACCAGCAATTCTGTGCGTTTAATGTAGGGCACTTGATTTTATTCAAAGGGTGAGATACAAAAAAAGTAAGCAAAAAGACAAAACCCCAACTTATAAAACACTACAGACAAAAGTAACATACAGCACGTAACAGGAAACGAGATACGGACTGGTCCCCGCAAACCAAGCCAGCCGGGTATGTACAAGCAGGGGCAGATCGGTCTAAAAGGGAAGAAATGGTTAATATTTATCACTTCACATGTCTGTCTGCACAGTGAAGGGAAGGCAAACAGTTTTCTTTTATTTGATCCAAATACTTCGTTTCTTCGTGTTGTTTCTCCGGCAGGGGAGGGTCTCGGTGCTTTGAGGCGAGTTCAGTACATTCAGGTAGGAGCTAAAATCAGCCACAGTTAAACACTGACAAAGCAGCTAAAGGTCAGGGTTAAAACCTCCCTGCGTCTTCCCTGCTGCTGCTGGGCACGTACCTGGGCGAGGAGCTGCCCCTGACCACAACGGAGGCAGAAAAACCTAACTTTGCATTAATATGTTGGATTTAGGCTTATGCTGGGACATGTTTTCAAGTTTAACCAAGCCTAGTTTGTCCAGGCCAGCCCAAGGCTCCTCATTCAGTGAGATCCCTCCTGCTCCGCATGGGAATGGCCCACTGGAATCTTTCACTAATACGGCTCTTTAAGGACAGCAGGGATGAGACCTGAGGATCATGAGGCAGCACGGGGCGAGATGACTGTCCCCACGGTCCCCAATTCTCCTGAGGTCAATAAAATCACTGCAGAGGGACTGCAAAATGCACAGGCCCATGCACGGGCTGGGGCTCTGGGTACCTTTATGGCCAGTATTTATTCAGCCAGTAAATTCAAGGCCTTTGTTGTGTGGAGCTAGAAGGAAAGAAGAAAAACTTCCTGACCAAATTATATGCCCGTGCATGATTTAAATTCCTGCTCCTGCTGTTGTGGAATAACCTCAGTAAGAGGCTTAGAATTGGACTGCTAGGCAGGAGCAACCTGAGCCGAGCTCAAAAGTACCTGTGTTTTAGTAATTAAAATCAACTAAAGATGGGTAGAGGCTTCTGTATCGCTTGAAGCTGCTATGGGTAGAGATGAGGTAAAGAGGTTCTCGACTCAAAATAACTCCTGCCGACTGCATGCAGGAAAAGGCAGCTGCCATTGCCAAGGAGAAAAGCCTCTACCTGTATTTACCTGTGGCTCAATTTTAGTGCAGGGCTACTACATCTTTAACCACCTCGGGTAGGAAGGAGGGACGTCGACTGGCTCAGTAAGCAAAACATTCATCCCGGAGAGCAGGAGGCTGACGGGCTGCTAACAAATAGCACGAGACGATTGAGAAGTTGCCTGGGGGAAAGGAGCAGCTCTTGATCAGAACGCAGCACGGCCAGACAAAACGAGGTAAGGAACGCCGGGATGCCCATTCCTTCCCGCTTGACACATGGCAGTTAACAACAGGGAGCTGCTCTACGGCTTCCCTCATGGGCTCCGCTTCTTGGATATCCAGCATTACAACAGCCCACGGTGCAGTTGGAAGCAGCACCTAAACCTCGGGTCGTGGCGAGCGGGGAGCTTGCAGGGCCATCACCTCTTTGCTGGCAAACGAAGACTCCGTCACGGGTTTTAATGCCTTAAATTACAGAGCGTAAGGATTTGTCTCGTGCAGCATCAAACCAAGTACTCAGCAAGATCTGCACAGGTACCTCCGCCATGAGCGTGTCCGATTGACGCTTCCAACTCAGCATCCTCCTCTTTGGTCCTCTTTGTACACAACGGCCTTCTGGAAACGCTTCCGAGCGGGCGTCATCAGGCTTTTCCCGTGGCACCTCGCAGCTCAGCGGCGCTGGCTGCCCCCGCGTTGGCCAGGGGCCCTGCCCAGCCAGCAACGCTCCTCCCGAGGCTCCTCGCTGCTTTTCCTCCGATCCACACGGGAGACGGAGCTCAAACCACTGCTCGTGGGATGGGATTCCCTTGCGTTGCCGCCTGCGGCGTCCGAGGCTGCACGTCCTTACGCCGGGCTGTGAATCCCTTCCTCGGTTCGGCCCCTCCGCGTTACGCTTCCCTGTTCCCCTTCTCCCAAGCAAGAAGGAAGCGGGAATGTCTTGGGATTTTTAGCACTGAGCAGGCACCGCTCTCCCTCCAAAGTCTCTTCTCGAGGCGTCGCGGCGGGGCTGAGGCACCTACGACTTGGCCTCTCAGAGCAAATGCAGGACAAACAAAACAGCAACATTTACCACTTTGTTCTTGCACAGACACTGGCAGCACAACCCATTCGTTAAGCAACAGTCTGCGTACAGCAACACATCAGTAAACACACACGGATCGGTTTAAGAAGCTATTTCCAGGCACGGTATTTTTTTTTCTCCTTAACATAATAAAACTAAGCCAGGAACTGATCTGGAATCAAGGTTACATAGGTTCCTTCAACGGACACAAACCAGAATTGCCCCAGGGGTGGGAGCGACACGGCTTGCAGCTGCCCTGGTTACTGTGACCGAGCAGGGTCCTGTCCCCTGCACCGCGGCTCAAATGGGTAAGGACAGTCTCCAAACACCATTTTTAAAGCAATTCTCCAGGGGCAGTAGCTGCCCACGGGTGTTCTCTCCCGTTTCCCAGCTACTGCTTTATGCCTCGCTCTCGCTGCCTGGGCAGAACTAACCCAAAACACAACGGGCTGGTAGGAAACAGCAAGGCAGGGACGAGGCAGCATCGTCCTTGTCCGCGCGGAGACCAGGAAGCCTGGTCCAAGCCTAGGATTCGCTAGGACTTCCCTGGGATTCGCTCCGAACGCCGCCGCGCTCCAAGGGGAGGAAAAGCTTTATCCCCAGCACGGAGCGAGCGCGACCTCCTCGAAACAAAACCCGAGCACTCGTCGTGTTCCTCCTTTCCCCACCTTGGCAAACGGCCCCGGCGCATCGGGCGCCGCGGGAGCGACCTCCACCGTCGCGGTGGGCACAGCAGGGACAGGAGCTGCTTTTGCAGAACGCTTGTTGGCCCCCTGAATCTAGGAGATTGTCAGCTGCTGGGTTATTTGGCATAGATTAAAATCCTTTTGATGAAACTCGGCTTGTTTTCTCTTTTTTTGTTTAAGCACATTCACCAAGTGCCTCAGATTGAGGCAGGCTGACAAATAGCTGAATCTCTTTCGTAAAAGAGGCAGAAATTGACCCAAACTCTTGTTCCAAATTTGTTCGCTGCTAACGTATCTGCACAAGCAGGACCAATAACAGCTTTTGCTGCAGTTGCTTGTTCTGGTCTCCTGCTTCACCCCCGAGAGCATGGCAGGTCATTCACTCAACAACAGGTTCTGTTCAACAACAGGAACGAGCCACACTGGGTAAGAAACAGTGACATTATCATAAAGTAAAGCGGAGGGCCCCTTACCTAGAAGACTCAGAAAGCTTTAAAGAAAACCATTTAACACCTTTCATGGACGTCTAGTGTTCAGAAAACCCAAAGCTATTGACATAGCATGTGGAATCAATTTGACAATCACTAATGTAATGGAATTACGGTGATCTCGTACACAAACGATGATTTAGCAAAATAAGATTTACCTAGGGGACTTTAAAATCAAGTTATTTTGGTACCAAAAAAAGTCTTTCATTTAATTCCCCTTTGCCCCTATGATTCAGATGATCTTTCACTCTACAGTTACGGACTTGGCCAGATTTCTTGGATAATCAACCTGCAGAGAGGGAGGAGAAAGAAGATGCTTGTGAGTATTTATACACCTTGTTTGTCTGTGTGTAACTTTGTGCTGTGGGGAACGGCTGTGCGATTCCAGTGAAACTAGCACCCCACTTCCATGTTAACTCGGGATAATCAGGGCAGGAAAAGTCCATCCAACTCATTGACAACAGCCTGCTCTGGACCTGAGGAGGGAGCACGAGGCTCAGAAGATGAAAGGTCACTGCAGTCAACGGCAGGGCCGGCGCCTGTCAGATGATCAAATCCCAGACTCTGCTTTTCACACATCCCTCCGGGGATTTTTAGCTTCCCTTTGGATTCCTACAAGCCCTTCAGGAAGGCCCCGCTCGTGGTGGTTCCAAAGAGCCAACACGCGTCCAACCCAACCGCACGAGACTCGGCCAAGCACCAGATTTGCACCCAGGCTTCCGCAAGCGCTGCTTAACCTACAGCTTCGCTCGAGCGACCGCGCGGCCCCGGCCTTCCCGCCGCTCCCAGCGCACGGCCCCGCGCCGGCAGCGCGGTACTTACGTCGTAGCCTCTGAGGACGGCCAGGTGGAAGGCCAGGAGCTGGAGGGGGATAACGCTCAGGATGCCCTGCAGACAGTCCACCGAGTGGGGAACCTTGATCGTGCGCTTGTTGTTCTTAATCGTCTCGATGTCTTCCTTATCACAGATCACTACGGGCCGCCCCTGCAACACAGCCAAATGCCTAAAGAAAACCGGCTTTTTTTCCTGCTTCTAACGGGAACTTTACACGGAATTCAGGACAAAACAACTGATAGCATCACTGCAGCTTGTTTTAATGGGTTAGCAGACACCTATCGCAGAAACCTACACGCCAGCGGACCCTGCATCTATCTTAGTTCTTTTTAACTAGAAGTCTGCAAGGGCAAAGCTTGCAGGCTTTGCAGCGTCACCTTTCCTAAGGCCTGACAGAACTAGAAAGCTCATGAATTTAAACCAATTTTTTTTTTTCCCCTATGTTAGTAAAATACAGAGATTTTCACAGAACTAGAAAGCTCATGAATTTAAAGCAAAACTTTTTTATTTCCCTCTATGTTAGTAAAATACAGAGATTTTAAACTGAAAGTCAGCTGGTATTTCAGGTTCTGCGAGAGATACCTACTAATGTTTTGGACCTAATCCACACTGACAAAAGGTCTTTGGCTCCAACATCTACTACTGCCCTATAAAATGTGTCACGAAGGTGTTCTCTTTTGAAGCTTAAGGATGACAATGAAGCCATTGATCAATCCCTCTTATACCCCTTTTTGTAGTAATGTAAAACCTGCACTTAAAAAAAGGTATATATGGAAAGACTATCTACTGAGGTCACGTTTTAGGCAGTGACATTGAATAGTTTGCTGCAAACCTGATCTAAGCCAGACTGGGGATAGATAGCAAATTCTCTAAAGCAAACGCTTTGGCTGCAGAGCAAAAGAGGTTTCGTATTCACAGCAACACTTGGACATTTCCAAAATGCTCTGCACGTTCACAGGCACTTACCTGTCGCGCGATCACCTGCTGGAGGGCGTTCTGGCACTTGGCATACGTGTGATCCCTCATGATGATCATGATCACGGGCATGAGCTTGTCCACCAGCGCGAGGGGCCCGTGCTTCAGCTCCCCTGCCAATATCCCTTCCGAGTGCATGTAGGTGATTTCTTTAATTTTCTGAATGGGGAAAAAGTAATTCCTAAAGCTTTGGGCAATTTTTCTTCGCCAGCAGCTTTTCTATTTAGTCTAAGTTCTAGTGAAAAGCAGTGATTAACCTTGTAAAAATACATTCAGGGTCTCCTCGGGTCTGATATTTGAGAAGACAACCTGAAAACCTAGTTCAAAGCGCTGCTGGGACGACGTGCCACCGACACTCACACTTCTACTGATAAAGCCACCGTTTGCAGTCAGCCTGCACATATATCATCACAGCACTTTTTTTTTAATATCCCCAAAGGTAAGAACTCCAAGGCACAGTTTTTAGGAAGGACGTGCTCAACTGTGGCTGGATTATATAAGGATTATACAAGGCCAACACACCGTTAGCAGCTTGTAAATAGTCTGGCAGCCACGTGGCCCTCCCTGGGCTGGAATCTGAGTCCAGAGCTAAGGGCGTTGGAAGGGGCATCAAATGAAGAAATCTCTTACCAAAGCTCCCTCAAGACACGTCGCATAGTGGTAGCCCCGGCCCATAATGAGAACGGACTTCTGATGGTAGAGCTCTGTTGCCAGCTTCTGGATCTCATCATCCATGCTCAGCACCTCCTTAATCAAGTCTAGCAAGAAGGAGAGGAGCTGAAGTTGTGTTTGCTCCTCAACCGCTGCCCCTCCAACCGCCCAGGCTCTTCGGACTCCACGTCCAGGCGAAGCAGCGACTCGAAGCACCGGACTCAGTGCTTGGACATCCCACCTGAGCACTCCAAAGGCACCAGAGGGATCCCCTCCCACTAATGTGACGCCCTCAACCTCTGCTCCCCTTGGGTTTTCCTGGGACGGTTCCAGTTCACCCCGGCGAGGACGCGATCCGTGCGCGCTTCCTACCTGGCAGGCCCTTCAGCCCCCGCATGATCTCCTTGCGCCTTTCCTGCATGGAGATCCTGTCATCGCACATCATGAGCGCGAACATCACCAAGGAGACGAACTGGCTGGTGTAGGCCTGGAGGGGGGACACGTGTGACCGGGCAGCCGTCACCTCCCGCGGCTGCTGCCGGACCTGTGCCGCTCCTGGGAGCCTCCCTCAGACCCTCTCCCCGTCCACAGCACGAGGGGGGCACAAGGCATCGCTCCAGCAATTCCCAATATCCAAATTTGGGTTTATTATGGGGTGACAGCTGGAGCAAGGGAGAATCCAGAGGGTTTTGCAAGTGCCGTGTTCCCAAGGGATTATAAAAGGGAAAACAAGGCACCTGGGAAAAGCAGTTCAGAAACTGAGCTCCTAGACTAGCTGTCGGCTTTACTCTTAGCATGTTAGCAAATTATAGTTCTTGTCCCAATTAAGCAGGAAAAGACTGAAAGGTGACTGTTGTCCATGGCTTTGGGGGGAAAATTGTGTTCACCTGCACAAACAAGTGGAACTAATGCTCATGTTAAGAGAATCCCATCTGCAAAAGCATCTGAGCCAGAGCATTAAACAGCTATTGTAAAATTAAGAACTTAAGAGGCCAGAAAAGACAAATGTTATGAAATGGTCCAAGGTGCCACCCTGGGATGGAGGTTCCAAGGTGAAGAATCCTGTAGATTCTACCCCTGTCTAAACAATTATCGAACTTGATACATTGCAAAAGATTTAAATAGCTTTGAAGGAATCTAGAAAAGCTCCAGTTATACCAATTAGCAGAGTTAGACACGAAATATTTGTTTTGGATAGCACGCAGTTCAAGGCTGCAGAAGTAAACAGCACAAACCAGAAATGTTAACATTGCCTGGACTGTTTATAATATGTTCTCAAAATGGAGTTCTGAACAACCGTAGGACAAAATCTCTTCAAATTCATGTTTTACACATGCATAGTTTTGGTATCTCCTCCTGTCACCAGAAGGAAAATGCAATTTTCAGTTATCTCCAAACTGTAACGTTGGCAGCATGAAAAGAACTGAGGCACAAACAACTCGTTCAAGAGTTTCTTGTAAGAGACTCATGAATTTTCCATGATCAAATTCCCCAATGAACTATTAAACTCAAATGTGGTTTTTGGCTGAATTTATTTAACAGATTGACATCATCTCGCCTCTAAATATAACTAAATCAAAGCAGACTTCACCATGCACAAGCACCTCATCGAAATGAAACGCAGCGATGCAAGTTATTTTATACTCTATCACGCACAGCCAGATGCATCTACCAGAGAATAACACTGCCAGGCAGACATAAATACAGGTTTTCTTTAAAAGACCATTCCCACATTTGCTGAAAGTATGGTTTTAATATCATAACACGCTTTCTTTGGTAAAGCAAGGCCATCAAGGACAGTTATGTTTCTAAACCTTTTCTTACAATTGCCTTTCTGATCTTTAGACCTTAGTTTAAACCGAGCCTGCACCCAGGACAGGTGATGCTGGAGGAAGAGGAGGG